TGTTTATATTAGTTTTATTTTTGTCCTTTGTAATTAAGGGCTATGATATGGACACCTCGCTCTTTCCAGTGCGAAGCAAAAGCCTCTTGGTTCCTGTAGATGTGTGCACAATCAAAAGCGACACTAACGCCAAACATACCACAAACATAAACTCAAACAAGTATATCTGAACCGACGAGAGGCGCTACTATCGCTTTTGGTTCTGTCAGGATATACATAAAACATTGCTCTTCTCCAGGTGTCGATGTATTTCGGTTCTCGTATTTATTGCAATTGTAATAATCAATAAGGTTTTTTTTTATTTAAATCACAATAAAACTTTGTCAGACGACAGCGGAGTATTGGCGGTAGCGCCATCTTGCCACTTTTCAGTTTTTCTCCCTATCGAAGCTTTTGTTAGACAAATTAGTCCTGTGAGGTATTGTATAGCTGAGAGGGATGTAAAGAAAACAACGGTGGAAAATTTAGAAACAAATCAACTTTATTTATCAAGATGAAAAAGATGAAATGATATATATATAAGGTCGGGGAGCCCGGCGTGACGCGCACGACACGGACGCGACACGTCGGGGAGCGCGACGTGACGCGCACGACACGGACGCGACACGTCGGGGAGCGCGACGTGACGCGCACGACACGGACGCGACTCGCTCATCTTGTTCTCCGAGAAGGAAACCTCCACTATACATATTCTATACAACGTATTATACATATCGATCGAAACATAAAATCTCCAAATAATAGATAAACAACCGTAACGTAGTCTGCGACGATACTCCACACGGAATTTGTCGTCCGAGCTAACTGTCCTTTTGCTTTACGTTTTTTCTCAATTAATTAAATGGTAAAGATCTCACTATAATATATTTATTTACAAGGCCCGGGGGCCGCAGTCTGTAGCACTGGCCGGCGCCGCGCGCGCGCACTAGTCGCCCGGGTGCTCCGGGCACGACCGGTTCACCTCGAACCATTGGTCTATACATCTGCAAACAAACAACATCGGGTTTCTTTTTATTTTGATAAAAAAAATATTATAATACAACTAATGAATACATTCGTTCACAAAGCTATTTGTGTTATGTTGTATGTATTTGTCAGTGATGTTATGTGATCTGTCCTGTAATGTATATAGAAAATATATAATACATGCTGGAAGTTATCTATTTACATAATGTACAAGTACAAGATTATTAAAGAGAAAATGCATTCGACCCAGATCGGCTGCGCGGTGTTGTGAACGTGAAGAGTTGTCGACTGCTTTGTTACACCTCAGTCTCGAGAGACGAGGCTCGAGCGCTCCTCACTCGTCGAGAGCGTGTCTCTATCTAAGTATGAAAGTCGATCGAGTGCTGTAGACAAAATTCGTTACATTTTTTGTGGTCAACGTAAGGAAACTAATCATTGTAGAAAGCCGACATGAGGTGACTTTGATTTTTGTTAGGTCTGAGGTTACGCCGATTTTAATATAGATCTTAGTAGGTAAAAAATATTTGCCAGGAAATAATAGAAAAATGAAATATAATATATAATTTGTTTATCTTTTTCATTAGATTAGCATCAGTTTTAGTATCAGTATCAGGTGAAGTTTGGTAATTTACCAAATTCTTTAAACAAAGCTTGTATGTAGCATGTTGTAACAATTATAGTGGGAGCTTACCCCTTGTGGTAGATGCAGAGGCAGGGCAGGCGCGCGATGGTGTCCCCCGCACACAACTCCTCCAGGCAGATCACACACTCGCCCTTTGCGTCACTCAGCACGTCCTCTGAAACGCACACGTCAACACACATCAGTATTACCTTCACACAACAATCTTTGTAATTGTCGGCATCTGTTACACTTGTCAGAGATTGTATCCGCACATAACGTTCATTCTTTAAATTTTAATTCAAATGTAAACTTAAAAATAGATTGTTTTAGGTTTAGCTCAACAATATTAAAATTTAATTATTGTCGCATTGGTACATTTATTCGGTAGAAGTAACATAAGGCTTATGAATGGACATTATAATATAGTGTTAGGGGCATAAATACTGACCATTATATGAGAGCCTCGGCCTGGTGAGGCACATGACAAGGTGGCACTCGATGTCGTCCGGCAACACGAACTTGCTGCAAACTGGACACTTGATGCCTGCAACATACACACACAGACACATTACAACATGCAACAACTTCTCCATACATACTATACGGCACAAACGCATTTTTAATCATAATTTCCCAGCATTATAAATAAAATATATTTAAGACATAACATCTTTTGAAGCCAGTAATTTGAATATATGAGTCGTACTTTATATGCAGTGGGTATTGTTTGCAGAGTGCGATGTACAGACTAGCGACCAAAATAGACGCGCTGATAGCGACTCGGCTGTAAATCTCATCGGAATAATAATACAATTGTTGTATTATATATCCACGAATTTCACAAGCAGATATTTACTTATTTAACAAATAGATGTTATTTCTTATTTATAAACTATTTTCATATTTTTTAATTGTCCAGCAATATTTCGTAAAATAAAACGGTTATATTTGTTACAAAAAAGCATACAAGTGATGTCCATTAGAGCGTAATGTCGTTCCCCTCTCGTGTGACAAGTGACAGCTTACTGCTCTCTGCAATTTGTGTGCTCTTCACATCTCAGAGACGATGATGATGATGTTTCAATGTGGTGCGGTACACAGCATTACGAATACATTTATAGTAAGTGTCACACGGTATGTATAGTTGCTGACATTTGCTTGGCACGTCGGGAACGAGATTACTCTCTTGCCGCATGTGCCATCTCAAAAGTCGCTCTATAATAACCGTTCTCACTATTTTATTTATTAATTCCTCATACAATGTAATTAAAACATTAATGGTAGAATTTGCTATTAATTGATAAATGTAAATGTTGCTTATATCTCTTTGAAGATCCATACAAAAGTTCTGAATGCCATCGAGTCCCTGTTAATTAGGTTTTATTGGCCAAGTTTGAAAATATGTACTCGGCAAAATACATTAAAATAGTTAACGAATTGAATCTTGAATATTCAATATCAAATATTCTAAAGTGATTTTCTTGAAAGTGCGCGATTAATTTGTAATGCCATTTACTGGCATGCACTCGTAAAATTGAGCCTATTGACTTTATATAACCAGCACATTGCGGCCGGCGCGCGTTGCGGTGCGGTGTGTTGTGCGGTGCAGTTTCGCAGTTACAGGTCAGCTCGGCTGCCCAGCACCAGCTCCGATATGCTATAACTAATGACAACCGCCCGGTAAGATGATTATAAATACATTAATAACGCACATAATTCTGGATTAAATCATATATGTGAAGCGTACATCAAAACAAAATAGAATATGTAATGAAATATTTGTTATATTTGAACAGTGGAATGTCGGGGGCGATGACAACGGCGATTGCATTGGTGGTGGCGTTGTTGTGTCTGGCGGAGCACGCGCGGGGCACGGTGAGCTGCCGCACTGCATGCGCCCAGTGCGCAGCGCGCACCGAGCATCAGGCGCTGCTGGAGGTGTACTGCGCCATGTGCCACGAGTGTCGCGAGCGCCGGCGCGCCTGGAGGCACTTCGCGCCGCGGAGACGAAAGTCACCCAACCTCAAGCCCAATCATAGAGCCAATTCTGCAGATGGTAGGTATGCTGCCATTTTATTTCTGCTCGGCTCAGCTGATCTGACCAATTTCCTTTTCTTGAGATAGACTTACTCCTCTCTTTTTTCGGAAAAAAAAGTGCTTTCAATATCTCTATTTAAATATAATATTATATCTTATATTTAAATGTTATGTATGTATGTAATAATAGAGATTAATCTCAAAGTTTCAAGAGTAGACAGATTAAATGTAAAGTGTTATTCCTAGAAGTTATCTTATACGTTATGCAAAGTTTAAATATATCGAGGGTGGACTCCAATTATTTTAAGATTGTATGAGCGTAATGCACTGCATGACCAATGTTCATTAGAATTTCCGGACGAGTCCCCGGACGGGCCGCCGGGTGGACCGCCAGAGGGGCCGCCGGAGGAGCCGCGCTGCCCAGAGCCGCCGCCCTGCGACTCGGAACAGCTGGATGGCCCCCCGGACATGCTCATGCCGACGACGCCGGAACAGGGGCCGCCCGCCTCGCTACCCCCGGCCCCGTTCCCGGCGCCCGCGCAACCGTCCGCGGGGCCCGCGCCCTGCTGTCTTCCCATGTGTCCCTACGCGCAGCCCTACGCGCCACCCTGCACCGCGGACAACTCGCCACAGAAGATGACGTTACCGGAACCGACCACGGCCGCGCCTACTGAGTACTTCTACATACACGTCGGTGTTCCCAAAGATATTATAAACAACATGTAAAATGTACATATTATGTTATTTGCATATGATCTATTGTTTTGAACATTCAAGTTAAGTCAAAGTAGGTTAAGTTTATTTAATAAATATAATTGTACATAAAAAATACAATGTTATTGTTACATTATAATTCATCTCACACATAACTGAAAGTCTAACTTTCCGTGTACTGTCTAATAAAGTATCTAAATTCACAAAACTCTAAGAGAAAGGACTAAAATTTCATAAATCATAACATGTGGCTAACACGTAGAACACGCATCAGGCATCACGGCGGCGCGGCGGCACGGCGGCAAAGCAAACACGCCGCAATAGTACCTGACGTGACGCAAACCGAATGCTAACGAAGCTCGCATACAACGACATAACTCAAAACACATTTAAGTCCATCTACGGAATTTTTAATTAACATTTTTAATTAATTTAAAAATCATAATAGTAATTTACAATTTTCCTTAGAGTAAGCTATTTTACTACCGTGTACAATTAAAAATATACTGTAACTGTAATGAGGCACAAAATACATGAGTCTAACAAGCGCGCTTGCCATTCATAAAGAATTCATATAAATATACAAACACGTGAGCCCACTAAGCGAGTAAATTAAATTAACTTACAAGAATTGTACATACATACATACATACATAGTTGGTGTTTGAGTTGTACTAAATAAACACAATAAAGACGAGTTATTTATTTGAACACATAATAACATACAACACATAACATAGATAAGGTAATGTTGTGCTCCGCGTGTTTATTATTTCCTGGTACAGTCGCATGTAAAGTATCCTTTGGATAAAAGCAATACAGCTCTATTGGTTTACTTGGTGGTTTTGGTGGATTATCGTAGTTAATGTTACGTATTACGCTAGCTACAACGTGTAGCTAGCGTAAAGTTTTATAGCGGAAAGTTAAATTATGTAATTTTGATTAGTCGTCATTGTTAACAAATTAATTGTTAATTATTAGGGACTACGACTTATACTAAACTGAAATATAGTGTTGCATTGTAATATGTATTATAAGTTGTATTATTAAAGATATATAAAAATACATACATATGTTGGTATCTCTATATGTAAGGTATCACATTCCACACAATAAGCATAAATTCCGCTAGCGCTGGCCATTTCATTACCTACGTTACACATTTACATACTCATTTTATAGACGTTTCTTATATGTATATTTCATACAAATTATACATAACAATTATATACTGCCAGTAATGAAAAAAGATCATCATCTATTAGCTCTAATTACTTAGTTAATGCTTTTTGTCTGCGTAAAGTCAAGTAGCTAAACTGAAAAAAGTTTTCAAATACAATTTAAGAAATTCATGATTTTTTCCTACTCATACGGTTTCATCTCAGCAAAATTAATAGACAAAGTAAATAGGTAATCCCTATATTTCATTCTCTATTGTACATTCTAGACAAAGCACTTTAGGATTGGTCTCCAGGTATATAAACAAATTTAGCAAACTGCTCCAGAAGGTGCAAGCAACACACGGTTGTATGTCGTCAACTCATACAAGTCCCCACGGAGAGGCTCAAGTGTACGAAGGGTATCGTGTGGTGAGGATTTAATGTCATTAGTTGCGATGACTAATAACGGGTATCGCACGACGGACTAATCACTGTGTTTTATATGTAACGACGCAGGCACACGTAGTACCGGCACTTACAGCTTGATGTCGGTCAGAACACCCTTAGCATATCGATCCGAAAAAGAATTAGCTGTATAAAGTATGAATTACTTGTCTTTATACAGTTAACGTATTTATTTCCCTTTCCATTTAGAAGAATGTAATGTGTAATAAACTGATTACATTAACGAACAAATTAAACGTGTTTTCGGCAGTGATATGAACGGACAAGAATATAGATTAATGTAATATTGATAATCATATGTATGATGATGTATGCGGAAAGTTACACGTGAAGTACAAATATTTGAAGTGTTTAGATAAGCAGGTAATAAGGAAGAGATGCTCCTTCAATTTGCTACCTTATACTGAAATGTAAAGATCAGACAAAATTTAATACAGTGTACACACCACTAGAGTAGGGGTGACCAACTCGATCATAGAAATGCACCGCTGACAGTTCTATGATTTTCCTTTTAATATAAAAAATACTATACAACTGTGATATCAACTGTGTAAAAGTCTGTTTCTGTCTGTCTGTAAGATTTAACAAAATGGTGTTCACAGAGATGTCAAATTAGGACTGTGTTTCAAGCATTGTAAACTAAATATTCAAGTCGTCATATTGTTATCAACCAAAAAAGTTGAACATTAATTGCTCCATAGATATTTATCGAATCGCATCGCCAAAATAATAGCGAACATTATTCACCACGAAGATCCGATAACAATAAGTCACACAATAGTTTGGAGTTCAATTAAGGTGTGTCTGTGTGCTTGTGTGTCCGGCAAGACACGAGCGATCATTGTGCGACCTCTGGACACCGCGCTATGTTTGGTAGCCATTGGAATAATGGCTTAGCGGGAAAACTTTTCCGACACATTACTACCTGACACATTTTTAGCAAATAATGGCATCAACTCAAAAATGCGAACTGTTCGAATTTACAAAGAAACAAAAGATTATTTTAAAAAAATCAACAAGCTGTTTTGCTTTGTTTTCAAGATGGGCGGTGCGCGCGTTCACATGTACATATTTGCAATAAATCCTTGAATAAGCAGCAGTCCGACATCGAGGAAAATCACAGTATTATAAAAATAGTAGCAAAAACAAGTGTAGAATAACAATCGTAGTAGTAACAGGCTGCGGCCTGCGTCGGTGCCGGTTTTGAGGTCAGCGCATTTAATCATCGCATACAATAAAAACAATATTAACGACCGTAGTCGTCGCGCAGACAATCTTAATATAAACGTAATAAAAGGGAACATTCTTAAATGTTTCTTTTTGTACAATATAAGCAGTTGGAATAAGTAAAAGCAACACAATGCTGAGTTAGTTACCATACAGAATCCTCCGCGGTGGTCTCCGTAGCTGTGCGCCGTACGCCGCAGCGTCCGGCTCCGCGTCAGGCACACACGTACCAATTATGATGCCCATGGTCACCATAACACTACCACACCACTATTCACCACTTTGTATCACCACAAACAACACTAAAGGTCTCTTTCATGTCATATCTGTTTACACACGTCGCGGAAAAAACTGTCTATCGGCATTGTTCTTTACTAA